CGATTTATATGTTGACCCCAATAGGGGAGTTCCTTACTAAGTATTTTTATACTCATCCCGTTTTTAAAATGATTTTTTAGGCGAAGCTGTGGCACGGAGGTGACGAGTAGGATGACAAAGTCAGTCACTGGGCGATTCAAGGATTTTTATGTTTTTTTTTTTTTGTAGTCTCATTTTATGGGAGAGACGTTTCCACACTTTTGTTATTAATTTAAACTATGTTATGGATGCCTAGTTTGTGGGAACCAGGCGGTCACACCAGATTTTCTTTTTATTTTAAATTTCCTACTTTGTTTTGAATATCTTTAGGCAACATTGTTTTTTAAATTTTAAAGGGTACCCCGCACTTGATTTCTAATAAATGATCGTTTTGCATGGTTTTCATTCTTTTCCAAATAAATTACATTATTTTTTGTAATGGTCTTGACCGCTACTGATATGCTGAGTCGGGTCGTTACAGTTGGTATCAGGCCCAGTTATGGGATTCTGTAGATTGCTTACATAGTAAGCCAAAGAGTCGCCCATGACTAAACGGCAAACCCTCGTCACTTCCAGGTACGCTTGCCCATAAAATAGAGGAATATGTATTGTCGAATATTGAAATTACCTTGGTTGTCATGGATGATTTTATGTATGCTTGTAACACAAAATTAGTGGATAATGCATGCTGCTTAATGTACAAATATGTATTGTCGAGCATTGATATTGTGATTGACTATCATGTGTAGTTTTATGTACTCGTCAGTCATAAAGTAGTGTATAATACACGTGGTATAATACTCGGCTAAAAAAAAAGAAAAGAAACTTTACGAGGTAATTAATTGTGGATTAGAAACGAAACAAGCGAAAGGATGTCTGGCCAAGTAACAAATTGAGGAGGTAAACGTGCTTGAAGCTGGCTGGCAAGGGTATAGGAGAACCCATCTTTAGAGGCCCCACCTCAAGAACAGTCAGTAAATGCGAACCCAAATCCGGGGATAGGAGTTCCCCCATCTGGTCTATCAAGAGCAAACTTTGATATTCTGGAAGTACCTAATATGACTGTGATGATGGGACTGATGCAATCCATGGCACAGACAAATGGGCACTTGACACAACTAATCCCGACCTTAAAGCAAAGTGCCAGACAGACGACCCATCACAACTAAGGGGACGCAGACGCATCAGAAGGAAGCGAGTATTTTCTAGCTTTCAAACGTCGGGACCCCGAAGTATTCAAAGGAAAATCCAAGGACCCTATCGTAGTTGAATTATGGTTGTTGGCTATTGATGAAATATTCTACGTAGACTGAGTTGCGTGACCTACCTGTTACGCGAAGATGCTAAACTGTGGTGGCAATCAGCCTCCCAGGCGATTGCTGCAGATGAGATGACATCACCTGGGCGTAGTTTAGAACAACGTTTCTCCAAAAATGCTTCAAACCAGTGGTGCGATATAAGAAGCAATGTGAATTCCTAAGCATAGAGCAGGGAAACAGGTCAGTAGAGGAGTATGAACGAGAGTTCACCTGTCTGTCCTGTTTCGCCCCAATAATGGTCTCAACAGAAGAGCTGAAAGTAGAATGTTTTGTTATGGGTTTGCGGCCCGATGTCTGAGGGGCGGTGTTAGCTCACCTTCCACCTGACTATGTAACAGCACTCCGACTTGTCGAGACGCTCGATGTTAGGGAATATCCAACAGAAGACACCCAAACCCACTTAAACACGTCGGTTGACCAGAAGAGAAAGAGAGAGCAAACGTCACCTACCTCCTCAAAGGTACCTTGGCACTAGGCCAAGACAAATTTAAACCAAGAGCGCAGGCAACAAAAGGCTCACCCACAGAACACGCCACATGACAGACCACGTTGCACAAACTATGGGAGACGTCACCCAGGATGGTGCAGGTTTAAGAATAGGGTATGTTTCAATTGTCACCAAGAAGGCCACGTTGTCGCGCATTACACCCAAGAGAGAGAAACTAGTACCAATAGACCCCCTGATAATCAACCGACCTCAAACCCGAGGCCAGCTCTGCAATAGTGGCGAATGTATGCTACCACTTGCTAGGAGGCAAAAAAACTCCAACACTGCAGTCACAGGTACGCTCTCTATTTTTTGGTACTACGCATGGGTCTTATTTGATTCTAGGTCAACCCACTCTTTTATCTTCAATAACCCTGTAAAACATGCAAGAGTAGAAGTTGAACCGCTAGGGTACGGGCTGTCTGTGGGTACCTCAGCAGGGGTAAGTATGGAAGCCTTCGAGAGGGTAAAAGATTGTCAATTGTGTGTGTCAAACCACACGATAGATGTGACGTTGATAGTCTTAGATATGGCCAATTTTGACGTCATCTTAGGGATGGAGTGGTTAGCTAAAAACCATGCATCCATTGATTGCTTCAACAAAGAGGTTGTGTTCAGGCCTCCTAGTCAGCCAAGCTTCAAATTCAAGGGGACCAAGGTGGGAACGGTCTCAAGGATAGTCTCAACATTAAAGGCAAGGAAGATGTTATCCCAAGGTGCTTGGGGGATATTAGCTCATGTGGTGGAATTAGGGTGAACTGAGGCAAGCATTAACTCAATGCCAGTAGTGAGAGAATTCGTTGACGTGTTCCCAAAAGATCTCCAGCCTACCCTCGGAGCGTGAGGTGGAATTCGAAATTGTACTTGAGCCAGGAACAACCCCTATATCAAGAGCCCCGTACAGAATGGCCCCTGCTGAATTGAAAGAACTAAAGTTGCAGCTTCAAGAGCTACTACTAAACAAAGGCTTTATATGACCAAGTGTGTCTCCTTGGGGAGCCCCAGATATTTGTGAAGAAGAAGGACGGCTCTATGCGCTTGTGCATGGACTATCGCGAACTTAACAAAATGACAATTAAACACAAGTATCCTTTACCCCGGATCGACGACCTGTTCGATCAGTTGCAAGGAGCAGTTGTGTTCTCAAAGATTGACTTATGGTCAAGCTATCATCAGTTGAGGATTAAGGAGAGTGATATCTTAAAGACAGTCTTTCGCACAAGGTATGGACATTACGAGTTTATGGTAATGTCGTTTGGCTTGACCAACGCTCTAGCAGCATTTATGGGGTTGATGAACAAGTGTTCAGAGAATTCTTAGACAACTTCATGATCGTCTTCATTGATGATATCCTTGTGTATTCCAAGATTAGGGAACAACAAAAGGAACATCTCAGGAAAGTGTTGACCATTTTGAGAATGAATAAGCTGTTTGCAAAGTTCTCCAAGTGTGAATTCTGGGCAGAACAGGCGGGATTTCTTAGGCATGGAGTTTCACGAATGAGAATCACCATAGACCTAGCAAAGATTGAAGCGGTGACGCATTGGCCTCGCTCGACCACAGTGACTGAGGTACGAAGTTTCCTTGGTCTAACAGGGTATTATCGGCGGTTTGTGTAGGATTTCTCCAAGATCGCCACCCCCCTCACTGAGTTGACCAAGCAAAGAAAGTCATTCACCTGGAATGATCAGTGCGAGGATAGTTTCCAGAAACTTAAACAGAGGTTAGTAACAGCCCTGATACTTACTGTGCCGTCAAGAGATGGAGGCTTTGTAGTTACAGTGATGCTTCAAAAAGGGGGTTAGGGTGTGTCCTCATGCAACATGGGAAGGTTATTGCCTATACTTCGCGTTAACTAAAAGAATACAAGTGAAACTATCCCACCCACGACCTAGAACTCGCAGCAGTGGTATTTGCACTAAAGATTTAGATACACTACCTTTATGGAGAAAGGACCCAAATTTTCACTGACCACAAGAGTCTTAAATACTTCTTTACTCAGAAGGAGTTAAACATAATTTTCACAGACCACAAGAGTCTTAAATACTTCTTTACTCAGAATGAGTTAAACATGAGACAACGCAGGTGGTTGGAGTTGGTTAAAGACTATGACGTGGAGATACTCTATCACTCGGGAAAGGCGAATGTGGTAGCCGATGCGTTGAGCCAAAAATTAGCTCACACGTCCGCTCTAATCACCACACAAAAAGCGATCCAGCAGGATCAGAAACGCGCCGGTGTAGCGGTGGCCATGGGGGAGGTCGCTGCTCAATTGGCCCAGTTAGCGATAAAACCGACTTTGAGGCAACGGCTTATTGATAAACAATATGGTGATCCAGATTTGGTTGGAAAAAGACGTTTGATAGATGTCAATCAGACAGAGGAGTTTTCATTGACATCCAATGGGGGGCTTTTGTACCATGGGTGATTGTGTGTGCCAAATGAAGAAGAACTAAAGGTAGAAATCCTACGAGGCTCACCACTCGCCATTCGCCCTACATCTTGATAGTACCAAGATGTATCAGGATTTGAAACGACATTATTGGTGGCAGAATATGAAACATGATGTGGCCGAGTTTGTGAGCAAGTGTCTGGTTTGTCAACAAGTCAAAGCCCAAAGGCAGAAGTCAGCGGGGCTATTACAACCACTTAGTGTACTTGAATGGAAGTGGAAGAACATCACCATGGACTTTATCGTGGGATTACCGAGGACGGCCAGAGGCTACACAGTTATATGGGTTGTGGTTGATAGACTCACAAAGTCAGCTCACTTCCTGCCAGGGAAATCCACGTATTCCGTGGATAAATGGGCTCAGTTGTACTTGAAGGAAGTAACAAGATTGTACGGGGTATCGGTATCTATTGTGTCAGATAGGGATCCCCGTTTCACATCAAAGTTTTGGAAAAGCCTTCAGAAAGCGTTGGGTACACGACTAGAGTTTAGTGCAACATTCCACCCACAGACGGATGGGCAAACTGAATGCTTAAACCAAATTCTGGAGGACATGTTACGGGCCTGTATGTTGGACTTTGCCGGTAGCTGGGACACACACTTGTATCTCATAGAGTTCGCTTATAACAACAGTTATCAAGCGACGTTAGGTATGACATCTTCTGAGGCCTTATATGGGAAGAAGTGTCGATCCCCAGTGTGTTGGGATGAAGTGTGAGAACGCAAGTTGTTGGGCCCCAACTTAGTACAAGCAACTAATGAGGCTGTCCAGAAAATAAGAACTAGAATGCATACAGCCAAAAGCAGGGAAAAGAGTTATGCCGATGTGAGACGAAGAGATTTGGAGTTTGAGATGGGAGACAAAGTATTCCTTAAGGTGGCTCCCATGAAAAGTGTTCTTAGGTTTGGGCGCAAAGGAAAGTTAAGCCCACGCTTCATCGGACCATTTGAGATCTTGGAGCGAGTGGGACAAGTAGCTTACCGATTGGCCCTACCACCTGTACTCTCAGGAGTCCACACTGTGTTCTATGTATCGGTGTTGCACTATACATATTTGACCCATCGCATGTGATAGATTTCAAACCTCTGCGGTTGGATAAGGGTTTGAACTATGAGGAAGAATCAGTGCAAATTGTGGATAGAGAAGTGAAAACCCTACGTAATCGAGAGATTGCATTGGTCAAGGTATTATGGCGGAATCACCAGCTTGAAGAAGCCACTTGGGAACGAGAAGAGAAAATGGTGAGCAAGTACCCTGAGCTCTTTAGTGCGGAAAGAAAGTAGCGCAAGCCTTATGTATTTAAGTGAAGCTTTCTAGGACGAAAGTTTCTTTTTGGGGGAATAGTGTAGGCCCACGTTTTGGGCCCATGGGCCAATAACAAAATTAGTTATAAAAAATAAGCTTCACAGGAGCCAAACTCTTAGCCAACCGCCGCCCTTCCTTCCCTCTTTTTCACTTTTCTTCCTTAAGCCGCTGCCACCCAATGCTCACGGTCCGCAACCGACTGTTTCTCACACCACTCCGTGCCCTTTCCCACATCAGAAAAACCCCCGCCCATCACCTACATCGCCGCCGCGAGGGAATGCCATCGTCGTTGCCAGATCCGACATCAAAAGGATTAAACGCAGCAAAGATTCAATGCCTACGTAGGAAGAAGGCTCAGTTCGAGGGGATTTAGACCGTCGTTGATCAGGAAAGGCCAAGAAAGCAGCTCCTCAGGTAAGGGACACGCCTATTGAAACTAAACGTTTTATTTTTTTGAAAAATGGGTCGAACAGAATTGTCCTATGGCTAGGTGCTGTGTAATCTGATCGCCGTGTGTGTAATTTGATCGCTGTGTATAATCTAATTGCTGTGTGTGTAATCTGATTGCTGTGTGCGTAATCTAATCATTGTGTATAATCTGATCGCTGTGTGTAATCTGATTGGTGTGTAATTTGATTGTTGTGTAATTTGATTGTTGTGTAATCTGATTGTTGTGTAATATGGTTAGGTTGTGTATTCTGGATAGGTGTCTATTGTCGACATATTGTGCTTGTAGGTAGCCACGGTTAAGGAGTTGTGGTAATAGTTACACGCTGTGTGTTTCGGGTAACTAGCCACCAATAGTCACCTTTAGGGTGATTCTAGAAAACGACTATCCAAGTAAGGGTTATATGCTGTGTGTCTCGGGTAACCAGCCGTTGATAGTCAATTGGAGGAAATAAAGAGGTGAGGCCCTTGTGGTAATGGTTACATGCTCTGTGCTTCGAGTAACCAACTAGGAATAGCCACTTTAAGGAGTAAAGGTGGCGTTGAGGTTGTGGTGGCAATAATCACTTGCTGTGTGTTTTGGTTGATCGCTGACGATTTATATGTTGACACCAATAGGAGAGTTCCTTACTGAGTATTTTTATACTCATCCCGTTTATAAATGATTTTTCAGGCGAAGCTGTGGCACGGAAGTGACGAGTAGGATGCCAAAGTCAGTCACGGGGCAATCCAAGGATTTATATATATATATATATATATATATATATATATTTTTTTTTTTTTTTTTTTTTTTTTTTTTTTTTTTTTTTTTTTTTTTTTT